AAAGTTGAGCCTCACTGGGTCACAACAACACTCACTTGCCACCCAGGCCAACTCTCCCCTCCGTCCCCCACAAAAATTATGCAGAACGATTGGCACAGAAAAGCCAGCTCTCATATGTTGTGCTGCCATAATGCCCTCCTGACACCAACAAGTTTTCAGATGACCAAATGTTGGCACTGTAGGCATGTAAAGAAGCTAAACCAGAAAAGAGAATTTGTCCAAGGCCCAAATTTCACTGTTCTGCTGGTTTTACTGCATTGCAGTCAGCGTCATTGCATTGGTTAAACAGTGTGTAGAACCTGTCCCCAGGCTTTTCTTTTCCACCTATGAAAATATTACACCTAAATTGAACTGTTTCCTGTGGTGCACCGTGTAAAGGAATCAGATGCCTTGTGCTACATCCATCCATCTTCCTTATTTCAAATATGGTTCAGATAAACACTGCAATGGATATAATAATGCCTCTGTGCCTTCCTCTGCAGAGCGGTAGCTGTGTAATCTACTCTTACTTCCTCTCTTTCCTAGTGCTATATAACATGCTCAATTTGAAAGCATGCAAATGTTTTGCGAGTTTTAATACTAGTGACAATACAAAGGCAGAATTATCGAACCCCAGCCCATAGCCTCCTACATATTACTAAATGCACTTAATGTTCTTCCTACTGTGGTTAACAACTGTGAAAGTGTTGCATGAAACTCATCTGTTTTCAATTATACCAGGTTCATGTTTTTACCACTGTGTCCCTTCAAGTTCAGCCACTCAGCCAACCAGCTGTTCTAATGAAAATGTTTCCATCTGATTGCAAGCTTGTTCAGATCAGAAACATGGCCATTGAAAATGGAAAACAGCATTAGCCAACAAAATTCTTTCTAGGAATGACCTCTACTGTAGACAGCTAACGGAGGTTGCCGGCATCTTTTTGCAAATACTGAAGCAATTCAGACTCGTCTTTTTTTTTTTAATTACAAGTTAGTGCAAGGGTATTAACATTGTAGGATCCAGCATTCTCTTAAGCTTTGCTATTTCACAAGCACTTCAGTAACAGATTTTTTGTGTTAATATATACCACTTAACATGATGAAGCAGGTTGCCATCTTAAGTCCTTCTTAAGAGAAGTAACTAGTGATATGAATATAGATTAGGAGATGTCCTGGCCAGCAGGATGGCTGAAAGGGACCTCAGAGTTATACTTGATCACAAGATGAACATGAGCCATGAGTGTGATGCTGTAATCAACAGAGCTAATAGCATACTGGGATGCATTAGCTGAAGTGTTGTGAGCAGGGCTAAGGAAGTGATACTTCCTCTCTACTTGGCACTGGTGGGACCCCAGCTGGAGTAGTGTCCATTTGTAGGCATCGCACTTCAAAAAAGATGTGGAGAATCTTGAAAGGGTCCAGAGAGGGGCCACAGGAATGATTACAGGCCTGGAGGACAAACCTTACGAGAAAAGACTAAAGAATCTGGGACTGTTCAGCCTGAGGAAGAGATGACTGAGGGGGGAGTTGGTGGCTGCCTATAAGTATGTAAGGGGTGAATATTGGGAGCTGGGGGAAAAACTGTTCCCTAGAATGCCCCAGGGGAGGACAAGGAGCAATAGACATAAACTGTTAGAAGATGGTTTCAGGTTGTATGTAAAGAATTATGGTAAACTTCTCTACAGCATGGAGAACAACTTAATGTGCGGTATGTGGTGCTACAGAGAAGTCTGTGCACCACATACCCTACAGCCACACTTATCTGGACGTGGCCCAGGGTTCCAGACATCTTCTAAAATGAAAGCACAAAAAAAGCACGTATTCTGATCTAAAAACTGCACATGAACAGGTTTCTTTCCAAACATTGGCTTGTTCTCCTCTTTTGCTCCATTGATTTATACAAACATGAAAGGTTTGCCACTGCCTGCTTTAACATCTTAGACATTTTAAAATGCCAGCTCTGTTTTTGATGAACAACTTGCTGGAGGACATGTTTCCCTTCCTTTATCTTTGCAGTGACTAAATTAAGAAACTCTTTGCTCACAAACTGCAATGTTTAGTGGCTTTAACAGGAAAAAATGATTTTGTAGTTAAGGTACTTGTTGAGGTAATTCGGGTTCTGTTCCTGTCTCAGATGCAGACTTGCGTGTCAATTCAGACAAACCACTTAACTTAAATGCCTCCACTCATCTTCTGTAAAACAGGGATTATGATTCTTCCTTTTCTCCTTGTCCATTTAAATTATAAAAACTCAAAAAGGTAGTGATTGGTGTTTGTTCTATGCACTATATATGCTGGGGCACCAATCTCAATTGATACAAAGCCACTAAATTTATTCTTAAATGCTTCTTCTGTAGTTCAGGAAACTTGTCTGGCAATATTCCCCCTGCAAATACATTATGAAATTAGATTAGATCTTTACATGAACAGTTTTCCCACCCTCCAGACGGAGAACAAATCACATGCGTCAATCAAACTTGTCAAATAAGTTACTTTCTTTTCAAGTATTGTTGTCAGAAAAGGCACCGAACTCAACTAGTCTGCTGCATGTACCTATTTATTCATATCTAATCTTAAAACATACTAAAAGCTTTCCTTTCTCTCTAAGCTTGTACTGCAGAGCAAGTACAACTATAGGAGAGAGTTAAATTCTGCTTTGATCTGCAGCATCAGAGGGTTTTTATTTAGCCTAAGCGTAGATCTATACAGTAAGTAGAAAGTGTTACTATAGTGAAAGTAGACACACCTGTATTCATGTTATCCAACTAGTACGGATTACAGCAGTGAAACATGGCTGTGAAGGTTAGCAACACCAGTACAGATGCAGGATCCTTCCAACAGGCTTGAACACTTTTCTCTGAAGCCTGTGCTGCAGCATCTTTGTTGCTATATGTTACACATACTTCCTAGATTAAAGTTAGCTTGGGTATTCCTACCTGTGTTGCAGTTGCATCTTCAACTGCAGTGTACACATGTCCAAAGGCACTCATATACAACTCTGGTAGCATAACTACGTTTGCAGACACTGTTAACGCCCTTCACACAGCTCTGGGAGTCACAAGGAACTTAGAGAGAATCAGGCCAAGACATGGTGGTTACTAGCAGCAATAAGAACCAAAACAACAAAGCTTACAATTCTGATCCCAGGTTGAACTGGCAAGGCGGTTAACAAAATACTTGTATTTGCAAATTGAACAACTTGGATATCGGGTCACAGACACATGCAAAGACAGATTGAGACTTATTTTTCAGAAACGTTTTAATACTCAACTAATTTTGTTTGACTTATTGGGAACCACATGATACACATAAGCATTTTGTTCAAGCTTTTGATAGGATTGGCTGAAGTCAACCAGAAAAGGCAGAAATCCCTTGCCTCTCTCAGAAAATATTTACTAATTTCACTTTTTAGTCTAATGCAGTTTCTCAAATTGTACTGGGATAGAGCTACAGGACACTTCTTTGTTGTCATAATTTCTTTTTCCTCCCACCAGTGAATCAGCTCTGCCATCTAGCCTTTCAACTCTTTGCTAGGTCTCTCTTGCCCTCAAAGCAGGTGACAGCTGCAACTGGGTCCAAAGGCAACACACAGACCCTCAACCTCCCCTCCTTGGTACCTGCACTGTTTACTTCTCTTTTTCAGTAACACTTCCTCCCAAATCCAACAATACAAAGCTGTTCTGCCTCTAACATTTCCACATTTTCTTTTTCCTGAATTTGGCAGTTCTGTCACCTCTCATAATTTTCATTCCCCTCTTCTCCAAGAGGCCCAGGGAGAGCTGCAGCAGAGACGCAACTATAGCTTTGAAACTCCCCTTTTGAAGACACTGGATGGATAGAATCCTTTACAAAGAAGATCAACTCTTTCCACTTATCGTCTAAAGACTGGAATGCAATGGACAGATCCAGGCTGAAATTCTACCTCTGCCAGCATTTCTTAAGAAGGAAGTTTTTATAGTTTAGTGGAGCACTTCCCCACTGAGACAAAACAGGCCCACTGATTTTGCCAAATACCTCTTTAAAGCTGCACTTAATGGTCCCAGAACAACCACTGTTCCAAAACAGCACAGCAGCAAGCAGCAGAAAGCTGATGAACAATACAGTACTGATTATAAATACTAAAAACTGTGCCCTGAAAATAAGTTATTCAGTAATTGCTGTAGTTTGCACTGGTGGTTGTGGTGGAACCGATAAGTGTCCCCCCAACTTCTAGAGTGACCCATATTGTGCCATGGAGTCAAGCATTTTGTCATTCATATGGTGACTATGAGAACTATGTTATATATACAAAACAGATGCTTTGAACAGGGATTTGAAAGGATGCATTTCAGCTCAAAACCTGTAGCTTGTGAACAGGTCACACAAATAAGATTATCTATTTAGGCAGCACAAATGTGGAAACAGATGGCTCATGGGACTCTGTAACAGTAAAGCCTGTTTTTCAGAACTAAGTTAAGAAGGTCAACAATCATCCCAGACTACACTGGAGGAGCTTGTGGAAAGAGCTGGTCTTGCTCTGAATTCAAGAGAACTCATACCCACATCACAAAAGGCACCACTTTTAGAATTAATTGAACCTCTGCCAGTCCTTGAACAAGAGCCTAAAGACAGAACAGTCCAAGGAGATAGATCTTGTATCTTCTTCCTGGTCATACGGAGTGTAGCTTATGATGCTATAGCTACTTACCTATCCTCTGAATCATTAGGTTTTCAGCTGAGAAGAAAAACCTACACCTGCCCTACCACACAAGAAAGTTTTCAGAGAGATTTCCTGGGGCCACCACTAAACAAAACCAATATGCGCAGGTGTTTTTTCTACACAGTTACCATATTAGGCCTCAGACTCATGAAAAATGGTTTAACCATCAACTTCAAGTGACCAAAAAAAAATTCTCAAAGTTTTTACGCTCAATGTTAAAATGAAATGTGTCCACAGGTTTTAATATTCAGTGTTCCATATTTAGAGACATGCTGTGCATAAAAGCATCACAAAATAATACACTGCAACTGTGAAACAAACATAGCAATTCAAAAGTTTTGCAACATAAAGTTGTTAGTATGAAATTAGCTTTTATTTTTACCTCAAAATAAATGCACATTTAACATTTATTCAAAATCAAAACTGGAAAAGAATATTTTAAACAAGATGGTGATGAGTCATTTTAACAGGGCAAATGTTTATAAACATCTGTAATTTCTTTCTCCTACCCCACTTCTGCTTGGCTAAAAACACTTCTGCCTGATTTTGTAGTCTACTGCGAATTAAAAGAAACACTAGACAACTGAAAAACTAGAAGCGGAATAAGACAGATCCAGATATTCATTCTCTTCCGAATTCAGTTCCATGTGTAGCCACACATTTATATATATAAAAAACATTCACTAAAGTGATTTACTAAATTCAAATTTAATAACTTCTGCAACTTAGTTCTTTGATATCTTGATAAGGTCAGTCAATGCTTAAGCATGTCAAAAGTCCACGCTATAGCATAACCACGGTATAACTCGAGAACAGGGCTTGTATATATTGTTCACTAGAGTGATGTCTTGTAGCTGAATTTCGGTTTCAGCAGGTACTTCAGATTTACCTGAGCAACACTGTAGACAATATATCTGGGAAGGAAACAGCGAGTTAAGGAAGAAAATAGTGTTACTACATGTAACCAGCTTAGAATTTAGTCTTGCTTTGAACTGATTTGAACTTACGAGCAAAGTCCTGGTAACTCTACTCTTAGCTTTGACCTGGAGGATATTTGACCTAAAATGAGTGATTCTCAACTAGGGTGTCGTGGCACCTTTTGTCACGACTGCTGCAGGGTGCCACACAATGTTAGCCCTGTTAGGTATGCAAAAATAATTCAGAAGATAAACTCAGAGATTTCAAAAAGGAATTCTTGGCTTTAAACGCATTCTGGCCTGTTGTAGGCCTTCTGAGTTCTTTGCAATAGAAGAATTGCTCTACTATTGTATTGTCAGCAACAGTGAAAACTAAGAGCTGGCATTTTCTAAAAGTTGCCCTTGAGTCTAAAAAGGTTGAAAACCACAGTGGTGGAGTGGTTAGGAGCACTGAAGAAAGCGTGATGGGAATCTCAAGATACAAGCAGACTGACTTGAATTAGGGACTGAATTTGCTAAAGACTATTTACATAATGTCAGTCAGGTCTGCTAGAACCTCACTGCACCCAGTGAAACACTCTATCCAAATATCAGAGACAAAGCAGCGTGGTCTGAGCTTAGATTTAGGAATCAGGAATTGTTAATAATCATAACAAAGCCATTTAAGCAATCTCACTCTCTCCATCTGTAAGAACAGAAGCTATTTACTGGCCTCACAAGGGGACTAACATCGGAAAAAATATCCTATTATCACTGTTGGTGTCAGAAGGGACAACAACTGTCTAGGCTGTGGAGGTATTATGCTATTAAGTCTACTTTGCCTGTTTTCAATATATGATGCTATAAAACTTACTTCAAAGACTCCTACATCAGAGAAAATGGACTTAATGTTCTCATTAAGTACACTGTAGATGATTCAAAGACATGTGAGAAATAGCACAATTGCTGACCTAAATAAAAATTAATTTGTATTGTTTTGCTAAACAAACTAAGAAAGTAGCTGTATTAACAACCCATGAATAAACTTCCTCTCTGTTCCCCACGAGATAACTCCATTAATAGAAAGACAACTCACTTGAGTTTTGGACCTACCTTGAAAACTGTTAGTTTAGTTTTTGCTTATTTAGGAAGGAGGGGTCAAACCACGGATCTGGGAGTACAGACACCAGGGGTCTATCCCTGGTTTCAGTGCAGACATCAGTGCGCCTTTCTTCAAAGGTATTGTAGAATACAAATTAACATATGCAAAGAGTTTTGGAAGTACTATACAAGTGCTATCCTTAACAATTTTTACTCACCAAATGTTTTGTTTTGTTTTTTTTTAGCAGGATGATATTTTAAGATTCCTCCCAAGTAATTGTACAAAACCTATTCCCTATAAAAGATGCATGCTCTCTGGATGAAGTCAAACAGTAAAGGATACTCATTATACAGAAGAAAAGTATCATTAATTCCTGTTGACATTCCATTCCCCAAAGAAACTTCTACACCCTCATAACTGATGGTGGCTGTGGGATCAGGTGCAGTTTTGCCCAAACCTGTAAAAGAGAAAGGGAGCATCAGTTACAAGTCTCAAATGCAAGCAGCCTGATGTCTTGAAAAAACTAAATTCATGATGTAATTTTACTCATCTATGTAAGTGCGGTAGGTGTGTGCCATTCTTCATGGATTATTAAATGTGATACCCCTGCCCATAAAGGTTTGCCATTGGAGACCTCAGGGGATCCTGTAATATTGTCCAATCTTTTTGTCTTGTAGTTTTACTTACATATGCCTCAGAAGGAAATAACCTACGAATACCAGATTTTCTAGACATTAACACCTCTTTCTCCAGTTGGAAATACTCTCCCAGTGTAGGAATTAACCACAGAGCAATTTTTCAAACCAGCTGCATTCTCCTATGCAGACAGTGTTTTCTTAACTTGCTTATTTGAACGTCATGTGGGACAGTGTCTAAAGATTTACTGAAGTTAGGATGGATCACATCTACTGCTTCCAGCTATCCACTAAGGCCACACAGCCTGCCAAAGAATGAAATCAGATTGGTTTGACAAGTTTTATTCTTGACAAACCCATTTTAGTGGCCTCTCGAAGCTTCAGTTCCTGATTCAATTCAGCGGAGATTCGGCCCGATCTGGTGGCTGAATCTCCAGATCGAATCAGAGGACCCTTTAATCTCTCCAAATTGAATTGGAACCCTCCAAATGAATTTAGAGAGATTTGGAAAGATTCGGAGATAGACACAGCTTTAAATGTTTTTTCTACATACCACTAGGTAGCAGGCAGCTTGTGAAAGCTGAGATGCTGGGGCGGATGGAGCATCCCACAGGAGTGTGGGGGGCTCCCCAGTGCACTCAGTAGCAGACCCAGAAATGAACCAGAAGCACTTCTGGTCCACTTCTGGGTCCACCAGGGAGCATGCTCCCCTGGCTCGGTGACTGGTGCTTCCTGGGTCCCTACTCAGAAGTCTTGTGCCCCAGCCTCCTAATAATTTTTGTTGCCCTCTGCTAGACTCTCTCCAATTTGTTCACATCCTTTCTGTAGTGGGGGACCCAAAACTGGACACAGTACTCCAGATGTGGCCTCACCAGTGCTGAATAGAGGGGAAGAATCATTTCCCCCAATTTGCTGGCAACACTTACTAATGCAGCCCAGTATGCCGTTAGTTTTCTTCACAAGTGTACACTCTGCTGGCTCATATTCAGCTTATTGTTCACTGTTACCCCAGGTCAGGGATGGTGCTAGGGGGAGTTTAGGGGGGGCTCTAGTCCCCCCCACTTGCCTAACCCTCCCCCATGTAGTCACCCTTTCCAGTGTCACCCCTCCCCCCAGGCTGCTGCTGCAGTTAAGCCTTCACGGCTCTTGCTTGCAGTGCAGTCTCCCCATTGGGAAGGGGCTGGCACTGCCCCTGCCCTGAGTCCTTTTCTGCAGAGCTTCTACTTAGCCAGTTGGTCCCTAGCCTGTACTGGTGCATGGGATTGTTCTGTTGTAAGTACAGGACTTCACATTTGTCCTTATTAAACTTCATGAGCTTTCTTTTAGTCCAATCCTCCAATTTGTTTTTCTGAATACCACCCCTACCCTCCAATGTATCTACTACTCCCCCTGGCTTGGTGTCATCTGCAAATGTGCTGAGGGTGCACCCCATCCTATCTTCCAGGTCACTGATAAAAATTCAGATGTTCTTGTTATTTTATTTATTGCAGGTGGTTGATAAAGTTTCAGAAGATGCCAAGATCATAAAGCAATATGTGAAGAATACTTATGCTGCTACCCACAATGCATATTATCTGAAGGTTGTGGATGTAAGTCTTGAAAGGGTATAGAATATTGCAAACTAGGTGTTTAAAATTGGTCTGTAGACATTTAGGGTTCTTACAGACCTGTGGTTGGGGCAGGGAATAGCGCTTTACTTTCAGTTTGGTGTGCCCCCACACCAATTGCAGCACGTGCCCAGAAGACCCTGGGTGAGCGGCAGGGCTGGGCCCAGGCAGGGGGAGGGGGGGTTCCAGACTCAGGGCAGAGGCTCCTGGCTGCTGGAGGCAGCACATAACCTCCTTCCAGGCCCAGGTGAGGGCTTGCTGCAGGTTGGCAAGCAGCTGCTAGGGGGCAGGCAGGGCTAGGTTGTTGGGTAGCAGGTGCCATGAATATGACCGCCAGGGCCAGAATGGAGTCCAGCACCTAGCAATCATTATCCATGTCCTACACTGCCTGGCCTAGGAGGGCGTTCTGCTCCTGCAGCAGCTGGATCTGCTTGTGCACTAAGGCTAGGAGCTCTGCCCATAACTCCTGATCCTATACTTCCTCGCACCAGTCCTGTGCATCCTCATGGGGAATGTCCTCCACCCCACCCAGGCCCATGATTCCTCCACCCACTCCTGCAACCTCACCACCAGCTGCTTCAGGAACAAGGTGCAGTCCTGCATCTGCCTTTGAGAGAGCTGCCACATCCACAGTGCCCCGGCTGTGGGCGGTCACAACCCTGAGGCTGCACCCCAGTTGCCTAGGACAGCCTCTCCCCCGTGTACAGCTTCGGGCCCTGTACAGCCACAAGACAGAAGCTGTTTGTGAGAGAGTTTGCAACTTTTCTGATAAAATACCAGGGGCCATATGCTGCCCAGCCTCAGATCAGGAGTCAGGCGTGCATGGGTCCTCAGGGACCACGCTGCATTGGGGTGGGCAGGCCCAGGCCCAGGTGGGCACCAGCCTAGCGCCCCAACCCCGCTCATTCCCCTGGGGCTAGAGGGCTGGTGGGTGCTGGCCGCAGGCAGCCTGCCTCCCCTACCCTCTTACCAAGGCAGGACTGGCCAAGCTCCTGGAAGCACCTGCTACCATGGCTCCAGAACCTGCTTCCTGCCACTGCCCCCCCCCCCCCCCCCC